AGTACAGAAGAGAGAGAGAGACTAGTAAAAACTGAAAGAAAACTCATGAAGATAAAGTTTAAAAAATAGAGCTGAAAAAAAAGTCTGTCATGACTCAGATAAAGAATTTGTTGTTTTTAATCAAAAAGTAATTGACCCATTTTCCTTAGATGCTCTTGCAAAAAAATGCATAGTAGCTCTATGCAGAGCTAAAAGGAGAAATATGGAAAGGCTGACTCTTGCTTGTGGTGGAGTAGCTCTAAATTCTTTTGATGACTTAAATCCTGATGGTTTGGGACATGTAGGACTTGTTTATGAGTCTACATTAGGAGAAAAGAAGTTCACCTTTATGGACAAATGTAACAATCCTTGCTCTGTCATGTTATTGGTCAAAGGACCAAATAAGCACACATTCGCTCGAATCAAAGATGCAATAAGAGATGGCCTGAGGGCTGTTACAAATGCTGTTGATGATGGCTGTGTAGTTCCAGAAACCGGTGCAGTGGAAGTAGCAATGGCAGAAGCCCTGATAAACAGAAGCCCAGTTGAAAAGGGCAGGGCTCAACTTGGAATTCAAGCATTTGCTGATGCATTGCTCATTATTCACAAAGTTCTTGCTTAGAATACTGGTTTTGACCTTCAGGAAACACTAGTTATAGTTCAAGCAGAACATTCAAATTCAGATCAATTTGTGGGTGTGAATTCGATCGCAGGTGAGGCAATGGTAGCAGCAGAGATAGGCAGACGGAATAACCACTGTGTGAAGAAACAGCTTCACTCCTGCACTGTGATTGCCACCAACATCCTCCTGGTTGGTGAGACCGTGCGAGCAGGAACGTCTTCTCTGAAAGGTTGAATTGAAGCTTCTCTTGTATCACCTGAATCATGAAGACTCTACAGAGCGATCCTAAGAATGCAGCTATAGGATTTTTATCTGAGCTTCAAATGATTTTCAAAGGAATTTTCTTTTCCCAGGTGAAAAAAAGGAGAGAACACTGACACCTATTCAAATTCCAAAGTCTGAAATTGTAATTACGGTATTTTTTTAATTGCACTCAGTGTACACACAAAAGCAGGCCATTTTCACCCAGTGAACAGGATGTTTTGCTTTAGCTTCAGTGATAAAAATACATGTTAGAAAGCATGTTATCTACTTTATTAAATATTCCTTGAAAAAAAAAAAACAAAAAACATGGTAGGTACTCAGTTAAACTTGAACTGATTGACTTAAACTCCCTAACAGGCTAATAGGGTGGCAATGGGGGGCCTGGGGCCAAACCTCCATCCTGGTCAGCAGGGCAGCCTCCAGTTCCAGGCTGGATGGGCATTGGGTGTGGGTTAAAATGATCATCCATCCAACCCAACAGTAAGTCGGTAGTTTCTGTATGTCAGACTCTGTCAGGTAAAGGGAAGAATAAACTCTCAAATGCACACAAGATGAAATTGTGCAGCTGATGTGGAAAACAGTTTGGCAGTCCTCAGTTAAACATAGAGATACCATATGACCTGGGAATTCCACTCCTAAGTATATGTTCAATAGAATTAAAAACATATACCCACACAAAAACCTCTACATAAATATTTACAGCAATGTTATTCATAATAGCTGAAAAATGCAAAGGACCCAAAGTTTCATCCACTGATGAATGGATAAACAAAGTGTGGTATATCCATGGAATGGAATCTCATTCAACAATAAAAAGGAATGAACAGTGATACATGCTGTAATATGGATAAATCTTAGAAACACGCTAAGT